AGATTGTTTTCTTTTTTAAAAAATATTAATTTTTGAGAGAGAAAGAGACAGGACATGAGCAGGGGAGGGGCAGAGAGAGAGGGAGACACAGAATCAGAAACAGGCTCCAGGCTCTGATTGTTTTCTAATCAAATGCACCATGAATTGTAACATGAATAGTAGACACCAAGAACCAAAAAGAACTCCGCAAACAAGTCTATCAAGGACAGGTTTTACGGTGGGGCGCCTGAGTGGTACAGTCAGTTAAGCATCCAACTTGATCTCAGCTCAGGTTGTGATCTCACGGTTCGTGAGTTCGAGCCCCGTGTCATGCTCTGCACTGACAGCACGGAGCCTGCTTGGGATTCCGTCTCTCCCTCTCTCTCTGCCCCTCCCCTGCTCACGTTCCTTCCTTCTCCCTCAAAATAAATAAGTTAAAAAAAATTTTTTTTAAATAATAGGTTTTAGGGAAATAAGCATGAAACCTTACTGGAGAGACAAGTCTAGAAGGAAATACATCCAAATATTAATAATGATTCTCTTTGGCTGGTAGGACTATGAATAGGGTTTCCCCCCCCCCTTTTATCCTTGTATATTTTCTAAATTCTCCATAGTGAGCATGTATGTCTTTTACACTAAGAGAACCAACAGACCTTATTTCCTTTAATGTTTATTTCTTTATGGGGGTGGGGGGAAGGGCACATGGAGGACACAGAGAACCCCAAGCAGGTAGTGCACTGTCAGTGCAGAGCCCGATATGGGGCTCAGACTCATGAACCGAGAGATCATGACCTGAACTGAAACCAAGAGTTAGATGCTTAACCGACTGAGCCACCCAGGTGCCCCACCACTAGGCCTTATTTTTAAAAATGAAGGAGGAAATAGATATTAATCATTGTTTACAGCTCTTGCAAATTTCTTTTCTCCCTCCTCACGCATGCTCTTAGTTCATGTCCATCCACATCTGGCCCTCTTGACTGGCTGCTTCCATTGCCCTAATGGGCATCGTTCCTCCTAGCGGGCAAGCCTCTCTTCCTCTGAGATGTATCTCTCCTCTTCTCAACCTTTTTTGGGGGGTTATATCTCAATAAAGCTGGGATAACATACAGTTCATCCACTGAAAGTATATCATTTGACTGTTTTTCGTCCAGGCACACAGTTGTGCAACCCTCACAACAATCCACAACCAATTTTAGAACATTTTCATCACCTCAGAAAGAAGTCCCATGCCCTTTAGCTATCATTCTTCAACCCTCCTCATCCCCCCACACCAGCCCTAAGCAACCACTAATCTATCTTCTGTCTCTGTAGATTTGCCTATACTAGACATTTCACGTAAATGGAATCCTATAATATGCAGTCTTCCATGATTCACTTGTTGCACTTAGCATAATGTTTTCAAGGTTCACCTATGCTGCAGCATATATGAATACTTTATTCCTCTTGAAAGCCAAATAATATTCCATTGTATGGACTGTGTATTTGTTCATCTATTCACCAGTTGATGGACATCTGTCTTGTTCTACCTTTTGCCTATCGTTAACAGTACTGCTGTGAGCACACATACACGTGTACTTTTTTGAGCACTCATTTATAATTCTTTGGGGTATATGCCTGGGAGCAGAATTGCTGGGTCATACAATAACTTCTCTATTTGACTTTGTGAGGAGTCATCAAACTGTTTTCCACAGCAGCTGCACCATTTTGCATTCCCACCCGCCATATGAGCATTCCAGTTTCTCCACATCTTCACCTGCACTTATTGTGCTCTTTTTTATTTTATTTTTTAATGTTTTTATTTATTTCTGAGAGAGAGAGACAGAGAGCGAGCATAAGCGGGGGAGGGCCAGAGAGAGAGGGAGATACAGAATCTGAAGCAGGCTCCAGGCTCTGAGCTAGCTGTCAGCACAGAGCCTGACATGGGGCTCAAACCCACGAATTGTGAGATCATGACATGAGCTGAAGTCAGACACTTAAGCGACTGACCCACCCAGGTGCCCCCTCTTTTTTATTTTATTGTCCTTTTTAGTGTCATCCTAGTGCGTATGAAGCGGTATCTCACTGTGGCTTTGATTTGCATTTCCCTGATGACTAATTGATGTTTAACTTGACTTCATCTTGGCCTTCCAGATCTGATTCTTACACAGAAATCCCTATGAAGCTCCCCACCATCTTCTTACCGGGCAAAGACCATTCAAGCTGCTATACCAGATTAGTCCAGGGGCTTACCCAGCCCAATAGCCAGTTGATCTTTGAAAAAGAATACCAGGGAAAATATCAGGGGAGGGAACATGGTTGTGCTTATTAATACCCACCTCAGAAGATAAAGGATTTATTCATCTTGTGCATCTAAAATAGTTGGTTTGGAACGTGAAAAATATCTTAATTGCCTTGCATATTTTCTGGAATATAATATATAATTTCACTAAATATTTATATTCTACAGGCTTACAATAATGGTAATATTGGCAACAATTAATGTTATGGGGGGATTACTTTGTGCCAGGTACGATGCTACACACTTGACATGCATTATCTCAGTTAATCATTATAGCAACCTATCATTAGCTTCAGTTTACAGTTAAGGAAACGAAGGCCCAGAGGAGTTTAGAATTTGCCTAAAGTTTCACTGCTAAGTAAGTAAGGGAGTAGCTGGCATTTGACACTCGTGTGGGTCAGACTCCCAAATCAGTGCTCTTACCTACTACTCCTAACAGGTTTTACCGGGCTGTTGTGAGAATACAACCAGTATTATAGCACGGTCGCTAAATGAAACTGTGTTCTAAATTCCAAATAACTAATTCACAAGCAAGATTTTAAAAACAATCTCTTCCTAGGTCCATCCTGTAATGTCCTGTGGCAGTAGTGAGTACTCTATGACATGGGATGGCCTTCTATGTCCCCAAGTTACCTTGCTCAAGTTTCAAAGAGATTCCCCTGAGTCCTAGAATTTGATGACCCAGACTGTGTTCACATTATTCACATTCTTTGCGATTTTCGTAGACATCTATCTTGACCCCACCGAGTAATAACCTTCCATACTAAAGTGGGAGGTCTTATGTTTATGGCAGTCCCTTATCCCCTTGACGTTTAGGCAGACCCTCTCTGAATCTTCTCCAGCTTGCCAGTGAGCTTTATGATCATCCAGGGAAACTACAAGGGTTCAGGGGCGGGAAGAAGTTCAGAGTCTTTTTTTTTTTTTTTTTTTAACTTCTAGGGAAGTCAAATTGGAAAGCTTTGCCATGAGTTCAATTTTTCTTCCCATGTGCTATCTTAGTGTTTGGAGGTAGGAGGAGGCCTAAGGGAAACTCTTTCATTAAAGAGCAGGCCGTCACCCGCCCCCCACCCCATAGACTAATGGCCGTATTCCATTTCCTCATGGAGTGGGGGGAGTTACTCAGCCTCGGCCTTTACTCTTTCAGTTTCCACTCTTGGGAACTGTATTATTACCTTGTAAAACAGAGCATCTCTCCTATTAGCGTTAATTGAACCCATCTTTTTCCTGTTAGAAACTATAATGTTGACTTTTATTTTCAGAGTCCTGTATTGAGCCTCTTCCACTTTCGAGGGTGATGGAGCTCAGCCCCCAGAAGTAGGCTGCGAGGGTGTTCGAGCATAGCAGGAGGCAACTGTTGGGGCATCAGGAGTTATATACATCCCAGTGCCCTTTCTCGAGCTGTTCTGTCCATCACCCTGGCTTTTCCATGCCCCTAGCCTTTGTGGAGATGTGCTGAGTATTATAAGCGTGCTCTCTCTTCCAAATCATCAGTTGAAATGAATCGTTTTATGGTAACAAAGTGGAAAAATGCAAGAAAAGAGTTTCTACCAGTCTTCCTCTTTTGGCCAGATCGGAGAATAAGCCCCAGAAGGCATTTCTGGGCTCAGGACTCCCACACCAAATGTCCTCTCCAAATGAGAGGCCTCTGGCTCCTCCAGAGGCCTATATATCAGGCCAGTCCATTCTTAGCCTGGAGACAGTATTGAATAATTACTCCACTGCCAGCAAATTCCCTGGCCAGAGTCTCCAAAAACTTAGTAGAGACTCAAGATAGACTTGATTACGAAGAACGCTTTAACTTCCTTTCTACCAGCAACATTGCTTTAGAAAAATAAAGAGTATTTTATTTTTGTTTGTTTACCATCGGGCATCTATTGTATAGATATTTTAATATTTCTTTATAAACATATCCACATCTCATCAGTCTGTAGGGTCTTATTTTGTGTGTCCCTGTACATCGGAAACAAAATAATAGGCCAAAAATGTTGCTAGGTAGTGTGTGTATATGTGTTGATACATATTTGCGTATATAAAGTGCTCACTCTCTCCTCCTCTCTCTCCCTCCCTCCTCAAGACACACATTTGTCTTATATGTAAAATAAAAGCCAAAGCAAATAACTAATGAAACATACTAGGACCCACTCCCTCCTGTCTCCCCTCCACCCATAGGAACCACAATAAACACACAAAGAACAAAGAAACCTTCCTCCTCTAGCAGATGTGAGTTTCTCTGACTATATTGTCAGGAGAATTTCATAGAGCGTACACTGCTCTGAGCACCCTGCAATTCTGATCTGCAACTATTAGCCTGCGCCTATATGGAAAGGGGCCATCTCTAGGGTAATAGCATTGTAAATTACAATCAATGCACTCAATTACACCCAGAAACCGAAAGAGATGTAGTGCTCCAGTATGCCTTGTTATCAACACCTTTGAGAATGTAGGTAACAGCATTCTGAACAAACAATGGAAGCCGAACATGCTAGAAAATGAACGCTGGAATTAAATCATCCTTCTGATAGGAGAGGCACCTTATATGGCAAACAACTTTTTTCCCCCTAATATCATTTTATTGATTTTTTTTAAACTAAATTGTGGCCTTGTAGCCAAGAATGTCTTTTAAAATCATTTATGGCTCTAATCAGCTTGGCAGAGCCTTTCTGTCATGCTGATAAGGAAATTAAACTTTTCTCATACTGGGTTTACTTGCCTCTTATGCACAGATGTTTTCTTTTTCTTTCAGGGAACTAATTCAGAAGTTGAAATCTTTCATCAGCTTCTATAGTGCTTTGCCTGGCTACGTCTGCAGCCACAGCCCTGTGGCTGAAAACGACACTCTTTGCTGGAATGGACAAGAACTCGTGGAGAGGTAATCTTTTTTGAATGTTAAATAGCGTAGTATTTGCGGAGGAATCATATATGTTCATCTCAAGGTTAGTTATGCCTTCTCTCTACCTTCAATAATTACAGGAAAAAAATCCTAGGAGAAACATTCACGTGGCCTTCCGTGGTATGCCAGATGCTGTCTATAACCTATAGCCCTTACAAAATTTACAAACTTTGAAGCATGTAGAAAACTGTGTATTCAGGGACATTTTACAAGGTGTGGAGCATAAAACAACTTTGGCTTCTTCCATCTCCTCATTATGTGGACCCTTATTTATTTATTGGTCTGAGGAAATCACATACATACTAATAGCTATCATTTAGTAAGAGTTAACGGCGTATTAAGCGCCACGCTAAGTGCTTGTCTGTATTAACTCTTTATCCTTACACCAGTCCTCTGAAACAAATGCCAAGACTTCCCCCCATATTATAGAGGGAGATGGAGAAAGGAAGAATAGGGAGGGAAAGAGGTGCCTGGGTGGCTCAGTCGGTTGGGCAGCCGACTTGGGCTCAGGTCATGATCTCACAGCTCATGGGTTTGCGCCCCGCGTCGGGCTCTGTGCTGACAGCTAGCTCAGAGCCTGGATCCTGCTTCGGATTCTGTGTCTCCCTCTCTCTCTGACCGTCCCCTGTTCACACTGTCTCTCTCTCTCTCAGAAATAAATTTTAAAAACAATTAAAAAAAAAAAAAAGAATAGGGAGGGAAAGAGGAGTATCATTTTATCAAGCGGTTTTGCTGGAATGGTTGATCACTGAGTGTTAATATAATCTGTGCTAACATCTGTCATCTGTGAAGAATTTGATCGTCACCGGAAAGGAAGGACTATTTATTCAGCAAATATTTACTGAGCACCTTCTAAGTGCCAGTCATGTTGAAGTGAACAAAACAGACAAAATTTCCAGTCCTGATGGACGTTTCACTCTAGAATGCTCATGGCATTCCCAACCTCCCTTGCTTCACATGTGTAAGGAACAGTTTGGGATTAAGGGACAAAATTAGGAGGGGGAGAATACTTAGGAAACCACATGGAGCTGATGAACATGCTTCCAGAACTATCTATACCAGTGGTAGCATCTTGTAGAGGAGAATACAGAAGATACTGGAACTCAAGTTCTGAATCTTTTACTAATGAGTTGCTTAATCTAGGGCAAATGACTTCCTCTCTTTGAACTTTGGTTTCCCCATCTAAAAAGTGAGATGGTTGGATTAGAGCCCTTCTGCTCTGGCAGTCTATGGGGTTTTTTCCTTACCCATTCATTCATTCATTCATTCAAACATTTATGTTTTGAGATCCCATGGATTAGGTACCAAGTTAATGCTAGGGATACGAGGGTGAAGACAGGCAAGTTACTTGCTTTGAGGAGCTTACAGTCTAGTGGGGACCAACATCAGAACAGGTCATGCTGCTAGACGAAATGACTTAACAATGTGATGTAATGGGCAGAGGAAGGCTTTGGAGCCAGACGAGCTTGGATTTGTATCTCTGTCCTGCTACTTACGGTGTGGGGTCATGGGTGAGTCACTTAACCTCGACAGTCCCAAGGTCCTCTTCCGTAAGGGATGGGCATCTCACAGGGCTGTTACAACTATTAGGTGAGGTCATGAATGTAAAGTCCCTAGCCGACTGGCCAGTTCAATCCATGTTTCTTCTCTTCCTTCTCCCTTTCTCCCTTCCCTCTCTACCCCCTCTTCCCAAGCACATGCCTGAAAACAGCTTATTTCTCAACTAAGTCGTGTTACTGACCTGGGACAGTGAGAATGAGGTGCTAATGAGACTGAAGTTGCACACCACCCTGGATGAGTCATTGAACTTGCAGGGAGACTGACTTCCCTCCAGCAAATGTGAATCAGGCTAGAGGGACTCATGGCCCACACATCCATTCCACTCTGGAGAAATCGTGCATATTTATCATCCTAAAAGCTCATCAGGTTCTAAGGAAAATCATGAAAATGTACTTAACTGTTATGATATTTTTTTAAGCGTCAGAGAAAAGCCATTGGTATTTGGCTTTATAAAATGCAGATGCTTTAAAACAGGTGTAATCAATATAATCCTTAAAAAAGAAAATGCCCACAGGTGAAATATGTGGTTCTTGCATAAGCTTCATGAGAAACCATCCCAGTGATTTACCCACTGGTATGCTAATAGGGTGAAAATGAATAATTCCTGAATACTGATTTGTTTTAAGCAGCGTATCTTCTAACTCTGGTCTGTTATTTTTAAAAAAAGTTTTAAATATATATTTATCTTTGGGGGGGGGGAGACAGAGCACAAGCCGGGGAGAGGCAGAGAGAGAGAGGGAGACACATTCTGAAGCAGGCTCCGCACAGAGCTTGACACAGGGCTCAAACTCACAAACTGTGAGATCATGACCTGAGCCGAAGTAAGGCGCTTAACCTACTGAAGCGACCCAGGCACCCCTGTTCTTTTTTTTTTTTTTTTTTTTAATATTTTTATTTATTTCTAGGAGAGAGAGAGAGAGAGAGACAGCGTGAGCAGGGGAGGGTCAGAGAGAGAGGGAGACACAGACTCCAAAATAGGCTCCAGGCTCTGAGCTGGCAGTCAGCACAGAGCCCGACGCGGGGCTGGAACCCACGAACCGCGAGATCATGACCTAAGCGAAAGTCGGACGCTTAACCGACTAAGCCACCCAGGCGCCCCTGTTCTTTTTTTTTTAATACACTTTATTTTTTAAACGTTTCTTTATTTTGAGAGAGCGAGCGAGAAAGAGAGAAGGCAAGCATCAGAGGGGCAGAGAGAGAGGGAGAGAGAGAATCCCAAGCAGGCTCCGCACTGACAGCACAGAGCCCAATGCAGGGCTCAGTCTCATGAACAGTAGGATCACAACCTGAGCCAAAATCAAGAGTCGGATGCTTAAACGACTAAGCCACCCAGGCACCCCCAACCATGGTCTGTTCTTAAAGAGGAAAATTTAGTTGACAATACAATTATTTGTTAATGTATTCATTCATTTATTTACTCATTTAACAAATATTTGAGCACCTACTATATATCAAGTGCTAATATTGGTTTCCGTATTGTTGTGTTTGTTTAAGGCCAATGCTGTAATCCTGATGGATACATCTCCTATTGCTCTTCAAGAAAAACAAAATCAGATGATCCGGTTTTAGTTAATTCAAAAGAATTTCTTCCCAGGCCTATGTTTTTTGAATCAGTGGGATTTTTTTCTAAAGTTTATTTTATTTATTTTGAGAGAGAGAGAAAGAGAGAGCGTGCGCACCAGCACACATGAGCGGGGTAGGGGCAGAGAGAGAGGGAGAGGAATCCCAAGCAGGCTCCGTGCTTCGCACAGAGCCTGAGGTGAGGCTCAGTCCCATGCCCATGAGCTCATGACCTGAGCTGAAATCAAGAGTGAGATGCTCAGTCAACTGAGCCACCCAGGTGCCCTGGTGGGATTTAGAAAAAAAAAAAAAAATTTAACTTTGTTTATTCATTTTGAGAAACACTGAGCATGAGCTGGGGAGGGGCAGAAAGAGAGGGAGAGAAAGAATCAAAAACAGGCTCTGCACATGGAGCCTAATGTGGGGCTCGATCTCACAAACTGCAAGATCATGACCTGAGCTGAAATCAAGAGTGAGATGCTCAGTCAACTGAGCCACCCAGGTGCCCTGGTGGGATTTAGAAAAAAAAAAAAAAATTTAACTTTGTTTATTCATTTTGAGAAACACTGAGCATGAGCTGGGGAGGGGCAGAAAGAGAGGGAGAGAAAGAATCAAAAACAGGCTCTGCACATGGAGCCTAATGTGGGGCTCGATCTCACAAACTGCAAGATCATGACCTGAGCTGAAATCAAGAGTCTGCCACTTAATCTACTGAGCCACTCAGTTGCCCCTGCAGTGAGATTTTTTTAAATGGAATTTTGCTCATATAAACTACTTCATGCTCAGTATACTTTTATAAATGATATTTCCTGAGAATCAAGAAAGTCCTCTTCTCCCAAGTGGTGGAATCCAAAGCCTCCTAAATTGGAATGAGTCTAAAAATTAGTGAAATGTACTTTTGCACCATTAAAAGAACTATGTTAACTGAAGTTCTTTTTTTTAATTTGCTAGTTTTAAATATCTCAGGGTATCAAACAAAATAATAACAGAAAACAAACAGTATCAAGAAAAGCTATTATTCCAAACCCCTATTTATACTTCTGAAAAGTCTGTTGCTTGAAAACAACTTTCATTGTTGACATGTGCTATCTAGGGAGGGAGGGAAGGAAGGAAGGTTCGTCGAGAGGGAGGGAGAAAGGAAGGAAGGAAATCAAACATATTTGCAGACAGTAGAAGAGAAATATAATCCAGGAAGTGACTCTTTCTTGGTTAGTAACCTCAGGTTATAATTAACCTATACTTAAATTACTGACCTAGTGCTATGATTGGACTAGGGAATAGTGTCAAAGTAGATTTTTTTTTTAAAAAAATTACTCAAGAATATACATTTAATAGTACAGCGTTCTGTAGCCCGGGGAAATGTGTGCCCTCCATTTGTACCATTTATAAAGATTAGCTGCACACTGCACGTCTCACCTATAGTGAAACCTCTTTCCAGAGCTTTCTTTGAATTTCCCATTTCACTTAGTCTTAAGTAACAGTTACCACTTCATATGGTCAAATCCGTTGTAACCTTGTTATCATTACTGGTTGGGTTTGTATTCCTTTCCATGCATTTTACTTTTAGTCAGGAAAATTTATGAAAATCGAGGATCCTGAGAGGAAACAAGACTTGTCAGTAAAGACACCTGATTAAAAGGAACATATTGATACTACAGAAAATATGGATCAATATCCACGTCAGCTGGGTTGTCAGAGCCGTTTATACCCTCCCTCTATGCGAGTACAAACAGACTACTCAGCTTTTAAAGAGTTTAGTCCACTGTTTCTCTAAGTATAGTCACATCCTTTCTACCGTTAGCTCTTATGAAACCAATCCATTAAAACATGAATGAAGAGAATGTCTCCACAGATCTAGT